CATGAAGTGCCTATATATTATGATTATTATATTGTATAATAATATTATCGTTTTCGTATTTAATTATACAACGCGACGTGTCTCGCATAGCGTAAATCGGAGCCATGATTTATAATAAGCAATAAATAAAAAAATATTAAAATATTATGTATTTTGTTTTTAAAAATAATACGCAAAACAGTGAAAAAAAAAACATTTTTAATTCTGTCAAACGTTAAGTAGTTTTTATAAAAATATCGGCCAAAAATAAATAATAATACGATTGAGTATTTCACTCGTCACTCTGGAAAACTTCACTGGAAAATTTTTCAACAAATTTTCATAATTTAGCGCTTTCGCTTTGAACTTTATACAGGCATTCTTCGGAATCGTTTTTACTGATGTCACGCACAAAATATAAAACGTTGTAAGGGTATATCTACTGCTGCATGACAAACTCGCACCGTACCAACGATTAGTTAGATAGAATCTTAACTTTTATTCGATAAAATTGTACATATTATTAACTTATAATATTATTTTTAGTATAAATTTAGGACAAAAATAATAAAACAATAATAATAATTACAGTTTTTCTACAGATGAATACGATTTTACAATAAGTATTATCAAACAAATATTCAAAAACTCTTATCATGCATTCATATGCATTACGGTTAAAGTAAGCAAAGCAAATATTGTTGTATTTGATTCAGTATAGACCAGTTCGCGGACAAAACTGACAACCAATCATTAGAAATCCTAGTTCTAATTTATATAACATTATTGGGTATAATATCATAATATTATAATCATACAGCCACAACGCTTATGATTCATAAATATTAAATTTGAATAAAATTACCAACGCACTATGAGTTCGTCCAGCCACAGTCACTTCCTAGCTTACAATATTATACGCGACAATACATTCTATATAATAACATAAATATTGTACTGCCGCAGTGTATATAGGTGGTTAAGCGCGAGCGGTTTGCAAGAGCGTTTTAAATACTAAAAGATGTTTCGAAACCGAAATCTTTTATACATCGTTTCGGAGACTTAACGCACACAAAAACGCAGTTCGTTGAAAAATATAATATTCAAACGACGCATTCAAAAATATTGCACAAAACGTTTTTTTTTTTTTTTTTTTATAAAATTCGAGTGAATTTTCGTTTCTGTTTTTTTAACAAGCACTTTTTAGAACGACGAGAGACCGTCGTGTCGGTGTGTATTCACGATAAAAACAATACAGTTTCTGTGCACATTATGACGTATAGTAGCCGATTTGAAAAGAAATAAAATACGCGTTCTTTGCAGCAGCGCGTCATTAACAAAACGTGTGAAAAGTCATTGTCTAACGCGACACATCAAAAGGATTACGGAAGAATCCTATACATATAATGTCATATCATATACGTATATACACGTACACGGTATTCGCATTCAAATAATGACATAAATATTTAATATGAAGAATAACGTCATGATTTATGAACGACCAAAACGCTTGTCAAAATAAAATCTGTCTCTGATGTGCGAATTTAATAACAATAATAATAACAATCGCATTGTTTGACGAGAGTATCAAAATATCATATTATAAATAAAATTTATAATATTATCATATACACTGTTAACGGCGGCGGCGTGGATATTGTTATATTATAGAAATCAACAATAAGTGTGAAACCGTGCTCTAGAAACGAACAGCTCTGGGGGCCATCATATATAATATACAATATTATTAAAATATGTTATGATTTATATTGATACACGTAATACATATTATATTATCTTTAATTAGTTAATCGTGTTACGTAAGTATAATTTGTTAATGTATAAAATAATAATTATATAGAATTACCAAATTTTAAAAATTCGACTTTAAAAAAACCGACCTCATTTCAAATCCGGTTTTTGAAATCTGTTCTTACTATAGGGTGTCATTTAAAAAAAAAAACAATACAGAGTACCTAATATAATAACTATTATGTTATAACGAAATAAATCCATTTAAAAAATGATTTTGATGGTCAGATATTTAAGTTAAAAATTATGATTAAGGACAACACGTAATTATTGTTTAAGTCCTTGGCATTATAACTTTTAATAAGAAATCAATAAACAAGGTTATATTTTGATAAAAAAAAAAAATACCTCAAGTGACTTATACGATTTTTTTATTTTAAATTTTAACATCATCTATCATCCCTACAGATTTTACTGCGTTGGGTTTCCTATTTTTACTTTAAGAGACGGGAATAAGCCTTATGTAAATATTGACAACACATCAAAGTTATTTTTGTTGACAAAACATTTATCATGTCCAACACTCATCCAACTTCAATGGGTACCATTACTTTTTATTAGGGGATGTAAATATATGAGCCTACCTCTACCTACTGTTATTTATTTACAACAAAAATTTCTGAAAAGTTGCAAATAATATGTACACTCACACGATTCTTACAGTGACTACATAAGCATTAACGATCAAGTTTTAATAGCAATTTTAATAAACGGAGAACAACGAAGTCGTTTGTACGCATGTCCGGTCTACATAATTATTTTTTAATCAACGGAGGAATTGAAATCGATTAATGTCAGTCTTAAATAATTTTTTAACGACTTTAACTTGTAATTGGCTACAATGTACTATTGTACATAAATAAATTGGAATAAGCTTTGTTTCGAAATAATTCTTAGTTAGGTAGTATTTTTTTTTTTTGTAAACAGCGGATGAAATACGGAATCGAATTTATATTATATACAGCAACACATTTAGTAACAATACACGAATAACACAATTACGGTGATACTTTCTCGTCGTTCATTGTATTTTGTTTGCATTGTGAATGTTTTTATTTAATTTGACGTGGTTTTTCGCTATCCTTAAAAATGACGTCACCCGTTTTAAAATAATGTTTACCGACATTTTCGTTTTTTACTTCTTTCGAGATAGTTTCGATTACCTTCCTGGAAAAATAATATTTCTTATGTATAATATATCTTACGGATGTAGGAAGAATTTCTCTGTCGTCCCCGACAAAGTTATATCAACAGAAAAATTCGCTGTAATACAATATTGCAATTTCACGTTTAAAAGGATTTCCAAATCAAATATTGAATGTATACAAACCGCGTGTTTTACGAATTATTATTACGATCCGGTTACATCTAAGAAGCTGTCATAATTGATTAATTTAAATGTTAATTTGTCTCTTCTAAGTTTTTTATTTACAATTAAATCAGTAGAAAATGTCAACAAAAGTTCAATACCGAAGCAGCAAAAACTATTTAGTGATGAGCGACGGACAATTATAATCGTTTATAAAAACGCAGTAGGTAGGTATTAAAAAAAAAAAAGATGTAGGTAATTGTACATTTAGAATGTCTTGCCTGTCTGACCGTAAGTTTTGAGATAGTGGATGGGATCTGACGATGCATATCAATCACTTCGGAGAGGGTTTTAATAAATATGCAATACGACCATTTAGTGTGTGCTTATAGCATTATTTTCATGATAAAATCAATTTTTTGATATATATTAGCTAGTATAACGTTTATGATGAGCTTGGTATTATAATATTATATTATTAATTATTAATTATTATCTACACATATTATATGGTGTAAAGTGATATAATATTTGAAAAAAATATTTCTGAGAAAAAAAATTATGTCCCGCGAGGATATTTCTGTTGAAAATCACTGAAAGAGGAAACTATAGCTATATATTATATAACTAAGTAGTCGAAGTTAAGAGTATTAAGTTTATTTTCCTGTGCTAGAGAGAAGTAAACGGATCATGGCAAAAAGTGGTGGTAACTGGTAGCGATATAGTGGTGAAGGGGCGGTTATGTTTTTGAAAGTTTCACCTCCTGGGGCTGCAACATTTGCGCCTTATGTTATAGTTTCGGTGAATTGAATATTAACTTTAGACTTTTAGATATTATTATACTACAACAAAAAGCAAAAGCTGACGTTTGTGCAGGGACAATGTCAATATATAATATTATATGGCATGGGCATATAATATAATAATAATATTTACTGCATATTATGCTATCGTGAACTAGGAACTTTATGCCCTAAAAAACAATGAAATATGCACTGACATAAAAAAAATATAAATAATATGCATATTAAAAACATAAAAGTACGCATAATATTATACGAGCAAGGTATTTGTAAGAGAAAAAAATTGTCATAACTAAAAATAAAATGTATGCATGCATGCTGAAAATTCACCAAAATAAAATATCTAGTAATGTGCTATCTTTCCGAATTATACCCAAATGCACATCACTGAAACAATTACGGATCAAATATAATATTATTATTACGTATTAGTGAAGTGTCATGAAAATATTATAATTAATTATGCACTATGTTGGTTAGGCCCAAGTAAAATTTACTACACTCCGGCGTAGGCGAATTGCCTATATAGAACGCCGTCGTAACGCATATCGACGATATTATTAATATAAATACTACAGAATAATAATATTAGTATAAAATGCCGAACATTCCACGATATTATTCAATTCATCACAGACGCTAATCTTCAAACCAAAATTTAAAATCAATATTTAGAATAAGTAGACAATATAATAATACATAATCGATTAAATTATTTGTAAACTCAATGGGTCATGCTGCCGAGGGTCTTTTATCTATAGCAATAAAAAAAAATTAGTAAACATTATTATTGATGGCTAAGAATTTAATGCACTATATAAAAAAAAAACCGTTAAAAACCTCATGAAATTGTGTACTAAAAAAAAAAATATATCTTATACAGGTATTAAGCGTGTAGGTATATTATATTAAAAGTAATAGCTATAAATCAATTTAATTTGTTTTAAGCTGCACTATATTATATTGCAATATAATAATGATAATAATGATAATAATATGATATTACTCAATTAAATAAAACGTGTTTCAAACGGGTATTGCAGGAGCTCCTCTTGGATCGTATTATACTTATATCATATGAATTTGTTTTTCAGTCAATTTCGAAATGGTTTCGACCCGACTGATGGCAATGGCCCTCGTGGTCGTCTGCTGCTGTTCGTTGACCGCCTCTGAACAAAACTGGAAGTGGTACAAGCCGTACACGTGGATGAGTTCACCCAAGTCTTCGTACTCGTCGTCACACCCGACCATCTACAGCAAACCGCTACCGCGACCGTACATATCGTCTGGTCACGACAAACAGCGAGACCGGTGTGAGCTGCGCAAAGTGGTGTTCACCCAAGACGCCGATTCGCCGCAGGTAAGCGAATCTGGTCAATGTCCCGGGACGTCGAATTCTCTAGGCGTAAAGACTTTGATAGGTTTTTCGGGGTTTACGCTCGTTTTATCATGATTAAAATTAATTGTACGTTTTTATTTCGTCTGTTTTCAGTACATCGTCTACAAGACAAAAATCCCGGACTTGAAAGAATTCACCCTGTGCCACTGGCACAACATCTTCAACTACACGCACGACCAGCCCATATTCTCGTACTCGCGTAAGTAGTAGATACCTACTGCATCAATGTAGCTTAGATATATTAAATAAAAAATAAAAAAACTACAGCGGCCTATTTTTCGGTGGAACACAATATTTTTATATTCACTCCGATCGTCTCCCGAAGTACCGTCACACTGCCGAGAGGACGATAGATCCTAAATATAGGACATCGTAAAAGATTTATAATATGTCATCAAAGGCGTATGATGATGTAAATTATAACTACGTGAGTTTATAACGCCGTTTATTAAAAAAAAAAATTATGCCGCAGCTATAAATTCATACTCGGCCGCTTCCGGGAAAAGTAAGTAGTGATTTTTTACGAGACTGCCGATGGAAACTTTCGGAGAATTCTGAGCTAAGCATTTTTTGTTGAACAATTTAAAACCGTTTGACAGCACCTACAATACACATTGTGTACATAATTTACGAAGGCGTATTAACGGGAGAGTGAAAAATAATAATTCCAACAGAGATTTTTGAAAAGTATTTTTCTTTTTTTCGTAATAAACTGCGCATTTATAATATTATAACAGCTAAAGCTGAACGGAATTCGATTTTTATCTAAGACAAGCAGTTGTTTAATAGTAAATTCTGTACACTTACAGAGATTCATTTACCGAAGACACTAATTTTAAAAACGACCACGTTTTTGAAAATATTCCTTAAAAGAACCCATAACGATAAAAATAGTAAGAATGTACGGGTTTAGGGAAAAGTCGTTTCAACGATTTCAATTTATTAAAAATATATATATTATATTCAATAATGTCAATAGTTTTTCAAATATCGAGTGTCTTGAGCATTAAATAGATCACGTCCGGTAAATGGAAATATAATATGGAGGTTTTCGTGAGATATGGTATACCTTATTAATATGATACAAAAATAACATAATATTTTGTACCTATAGGCACAGTCAAGTATAACAGCGAATGATAGGTACGTCTCATAATCATCAAATTTTTGGGTTTTCCATCAATCCATAATATATAATCGAATGTTATAGACTATTATAGTGCAAACAGAATATATTTTTTTATTTTAATTTGTTTTGTTTCCACTCGTACAGATCCCGGTAAGCCTCGTGTCATATATTCGTGGATCGAGAACAAGCCCGACAAAACGTACTACTCGTTGGCCATCAACGGACACACCATTTACAGGATTAATTACCCGGAGAAGTTGTTCAAATGGTACCATGTGTGCCAGTCGTGGAACGGTCACACGGGCGAGTGGCAGCTGTGGATCAATTCCGAGAGAGTGGGCAGAGGATTCTACAACTTGGTAAGTGCAGCAGCTCCCATTTACAGCACGTGGGGGGAGCTTTTGGTCGCTATACATACCGCTTTCGAGTAACGGCTGTAGGTAGGACACAACGTCCACGGCAATTATTAAAAAAATCATGAAAATAAAAAAACAACCGACTCGTATATAAATGTATCAGTTTTAGCCACCAGTAAAAACTAAATATAACATTACGTGACAATTTCCTCTTTATTACGCAAGAATTACAACGTTTCTATATCTTTGGACACCACCACTTCTATATATGTCACAATTATTGCTGAATATATTTTATTTTCCCATATTGATTAAATTATGTATTATACGCTTAGACAGCCGTAGCCAGTAGGTGGTTTTCATACAGTTGAATAAATATAAATATTACTATTATTATTATTAATTATCGACGAACAATTTATTTGTCGGGTTATTCAGATAATTTGACTTTGAGACGGACACACTAATGACCACCTCAAACAGACATCTTTCTGATTTTTCTTTAAAATTATAGTTGAATATGATTTTTACAAATTAGTCAAAACATGCTTTGGTCTTATATATTCGCCTGTACGCACTTTGCTGTCGGACGTAGGTCGTCATAGTAATTAAGATCCAACGCTGCGAGATTGGAATTCAGTCCACAGTAGATATGCGACAGTTATCCTTCCACAAAGTATGATAAGAAAAAAAGGTTAATAATATTGATCGATCAACGGGATATGATTTTCGTTTCCGTTTATAGACATTATTGTAATTGATTGTTTTCACATTGAACTGTTTTCGCGGCCGTCGTTCTTCTATCTTATCCGGTCGGCCAATTTTGATAAAAGAAAAAAACGATTCCAGAGGTCCAATGGACATTTCATCGTATAGCCAATATAGATTTTCTTTTTCAATAATACTCACAGTAGATTTTAATTAATTATAACCTTACAGCACCTTATACTATAAAAATGGGTTTGAAGTTAATTTTTTTTTGTATTATGTATAAAAACTTCTTGATAAAATAAATTTAATACCAGACTTGTGATGAAAAAAATCTATAATACACTTCTATAGGTTCATAATTTTATAGTTTTATTTTTATAATACAAGGGTTCGTATATTTAATCAGAAATTAAAATGCTTTTTGGAGTAGGTGGGTAGGTAAAGTATTGAAAACAAGCGGAAAAACTGTAAAATGAGTGTATTGGCTGTATTTCATTGTAGACAGCTAATATTATATTGTTTAAGTTTAAAAACAAATCCACGATTGGCAAGCAGTAGTTTTTTCCCCAAATTCAACAATACGATCTTTGTACAGTCGGTATACACGTATCAGCTGTTATAATAATAGGAAATTTAATTTAAGTTAATACGTATTGAATTACGCAGAAATATAATAAGAATTAGAACTTTCACTCGATGTGTACACTCGATATTATCCATTCTGACACGGGTACAAGAACAACTTCTAAAGTTTGAGCACAATATTATTTTCTCTGCGAATTCAGAGAATTATGAATTATGATCGTGAAATGAGTGCAAACACATATTATAATAAATAATCACTGTTAGTAGCAAGTGTACCAATGCTTTACCTATGTATATAATGTGCTCGTGATGTTTGTTTTGTATATTGTTTTCCACGATACGCGATATTATAACGACACGCAATATATTCGTCGCACGAATGAAATTGATTAAATCAAAAAAAAACATTATCGCACTTTCAAACGAAAAAAGAAACCGCTATAGCGGGTTTAGAATATGCCTACATCGTCATTGAGTAGCCTGAGTAGGTCACTGTAATGGATGTGTCAGATTTGAATTCAATGATTAACCAAGTAAACAATGGAAAACCATTCTGAACAGAGATGGTCTATATTTTGGGTGATCATGGTTAGTGGTTACTAATAACAATCAATGTTGTATTTTTCCTCTAATTATTTTAAAAAGTACCTACCTAGAAATGTTTACTTTAGACCCACCTGTAAAATATATATCAGATACAATTTTTTACCTGAAGTCTCTGTCAATGATGATGATCGGAGCAATTTTTCTACTAGAAAATGTGTCTTCAGTCACACAAATAAATAACAAACATATAATTGTAAAATCAATACATTCACCACTCCGCTCAGAATCTAAAAATAGAAACTACCAGCGGTCGCGGCGATTTGTCAACCGCTGTCAAACTCCAAGACATAGGCCACGAGCTTAGACAATTCAATATCATGAAATAATACAATTACACAAGTACGAACACGCAACTATATGTACATCATGGTTGTCGAACTTGTGTGAATGCTCGCGGTTTGTACTAATGGACATTGACGACGTTGATGAGGCATTAAAGTCTTCAAACTTCCGCATTTCTGTATCACGCAGCCATGGGCCCGATTCCGGTCGAGTCGAGTAGTAATGTAGATTCGACGGGTGGATCACCACACGAGAATACACTTTAATTTTTTTTTTCTATTGATCGATTATAGTTACACCAGCTTTCAGGACATTAGTTCTAATTTGCATTGTAATATTACACATATTTTACATTTCAATCAGTGCGTATATTAAATTAACTCGATTTTCTTACAGATACTGATGGTATTGATATTTGAACGGAGGTCTAGTTGTAGGTCTTCTTTTAGACCCTAGTATGATCCTATCGTATGGGCTGTTTATTTGTAGAGTTTTCGAACTTTAAGCATTCAGTTAATATGTGCTAACACAAATTATTATTATTTTTGTCTTTGTACGAAGGATTACGGATCGATTATCATAATGATGTTGTGTACAAAGTTTTGTTTTTGAAAAAGCGGGGTTTTTTTGGGCGCAATAGTTCTCTAGGCAGGTTTTCGTTAGTAAATTTACTCTTGCCGTTTACAATATCTGTTAATTGACACTCGGACCGTTAAATCGTTTTGCTATTACGTTCATCAATAACCATGTGCAACTTGCAGCACGTCGGGTTATATATAATAATCAAACTGGGGATCGTCTGATCGGTAACCGTAAGATTTCAAAAAAAATAAAAACAGTGATCCTCAAATTATATTATACTGTGTTATTACATTGGAAAAATGTAGTTTTCGGACCACTATAACTTTGAAATCGCGGCGAGTGTCTGCGAGATGAATAACTGTAGGATGGTTTATATTTCTTTTACATTTTTACTTTTATTAGCTCTTTTAACGTCAACCCGTAATAATATGTACTATGTAGGTTAGTAAATATTAGTCTACGCATCTTTGGTGCGTTTCAGGAGAGATTATTTTTTTGGAAATGCGCTCGTGTGTCAATAAGACAAGACACATTGAACCGATGTACAGTTTTTTTACTTACACAAGCATCGCGTGCTTAGAGTACATACACGGATAAAAGCTACTGCTAAGAGGTATTATAGAGGATGATATCTTGAGACGTTACCCGCTCATTCGGTAAAAAGTTTACCCGACAAGACTTGGGTCTTACTAAAATCGCTCTGCGTATTGATATTTATCTGTATATTTGCTCCGCCGGTTAAACATTGCTATACAAAAATACACTCCGTATACTCACATAATATCATTTTATTAAAAGCGACGGCGACGACGTTTTGAAAAATTGCAATTTTTTTTTGACCTTACTATAATATTATTTTCCAACCGTCTCTGTTGGCCGGTGTCAGGAAGTGACCTTTCACCGCGGTCTCCTTTTTTCTTCATCTATTTATCATCTTCTTTCCTTCTTTTTGTGTACACAATATAATATGATATTTAATTTTATATGATTTTGTGACCGAAAACACAATAAACTATCCAAGACGTTGACGCCGAAAACCGTAAAAGCGACAAAATCATAATAATTATATTACTCTTACTGAGTGATAAAGTATGTCGTTATTAACGATAAGACATCAGCTTGAATGTAAAAAATCTGATATTATTCTTTACAGAGGTCATGACACAGCCAGACGCGTTAAGTATATTTTATTACATTGACATATTATATGACATGACATTATAATATCAATTATTCAAATATAGAGTGCTAAAAATTGTTATTTTAATTATGCTTTTACTTTCTGGTGAAATAATACTTAAAATTAAATATACATAGGTACAATAATAATAATAATGAACTCGGAACGCGTTGAAAGCGGCTGCCTTAATCCAGTTATACCCTTAATGACGTGTATAAAATATTCCCGTTGACATAAATGAATTTGTTAGTCATGTGATTCAAACTTGCACTAAAAAAACTCGTACGCCGTTTTTAAAGTAAAATTAAAAAAATTATTTTCTCACGGTAGTTCGGATGAATGAGTTGGACGGATGAAAAATAACGTTCATTTTATTTCAGTAAAACCCTACATAGTCTATGATAATATATATTGCAGACACCATAGTGTTGAACTCGTAATAATTATAAAATAGAACCATCACCACAAAAGACTACGAAGAAAAAAAATGTTTTCATAAAACTTAACACTCTAACTAGTAACTACCATGCATGTCCGTCATAGCATATTGTTGGCCGTTGGTTATCGCACTGAAAGCTTGATAATCTAATTAAATGTTTCATCCATTATTATATTTTAGTCCAAATATTCGAGAGGAAATGGGTAAATTTTGTTGAGTATATTAAATTAACGCTTTTTGAATAAAATATTCGTCTACATAATATAATGATATTGGCATATCCAATTTTAGATTTAAAATTAATTTTTTTTTAAACTTGAAATCATTTTATGTTTTTTATTGCATATCGGCTGCTTTTAAATAAACAAAATACTAAAAAGTGACTTAATATCATAATGAAACTCGAAAACAAAAAATTAATCACTGCACACGTGTAAAAATATCATATAATATTACATGTGTAAAAGTAGTACCTACAAGCGTTTAACCGTCGAACGATATCGCAATAATATAACTATTGGTTGATCGGTGTATATTTTATGTATAAGACAAGTAGGGACTCATCTCGGATACTAGTGTGTTTTATTATTATTAGGGTTATTAAGTATGTTATACCTAACGTAATATTATGGTCACATGCAGTAGACGGTATTGATGTTAGCTTAAACGCCGGACATTTTCTTTCAAACATCCGGACAGTTGTTCGGAAATTGAACGTGGTGCAACCCAAAGCAGCTTCGTTTTGACGATGGCGGGTGGTTTATGATTTCCGATATTATTAATATGATTATTATTGTTCAGCGTACACACAAGACTTAAGAATCGAAATTTATTTCACTCCGATCTTCTAAATTTAAAATACTTAAAATTTAAAAGCTACTCGTTCAAAATAAATTGTTGTATACATCGAAGTATTAATAAAAAATTCTACTTTTGAATAAAGAATTAAGATTGTATGTTTTCCATGAACAAATATAGGACTGAAAAAAATGTATTTGTCTTGGAAAATAACTGGGTTTTTTTTACCGTCAAAAAATTATATGAAAAAAATATTTAGAAAAAACGTTAATAGTTTTTGGAACAATGAGAGTCTCAAGTTAAACGGTTTATTATCGAATAGTGGTGAATGTTCTGAGAACAAAAAGTTTAAGAAACCGTTGAATCATAAACGTTATAATAATATGAGAATCAATGTCCGAATCGTTTTTCGACGTGATTTATCTTCGGCGAACGATACAGACATTAAATAGATTCCTATCGGGGCGCGAGTGGGGTATGATGGGTTACCTATATATAATGTAACAGTGGCGGCTGATAATCGGCAGACTTAACGATTCATATTATGTGAGCTTTTTTTCCATTCATCAATCGGAAAAACGATTTTGGAAAGTTCGGTTTTCAGTTTAATCTGCAGCAGAAGCAGGGGTGTGTGGGTGGTGTGGGTTTAATGATCGATTGTACATGATCGTAGTTTGACGTAATATCATGTTCTCATTATCTTTTTTTGTAGATGGCCGGTAAGAAGATCAAGGGTGGTGGCGTGGCCATCAGCGGACGGGAATACCTGGACCAGGCGTTGGCCGTCCACTACCCGGCGTTCTCGGGAGAACTTACTCTGGTGTCTCTGTACAAGGCTGCGCTGACCGCGGGCAAGGCATACAACGATCACAAGCATCATCACGTGCACAACTTCCATCATGGATACGATGAATCGGTGGACGAGGCTGACACCGAGGCGCCACCAACTCTGCCTCCCAACCCAGAGGCTACGCGGCCACCACATCTGGCGCACGGTGGAGCCTTTGCCAACGGTCAACGCGTTCCCGGAGTTCCGATACCGACCCCCGCCGCCCCGGAGCAACAGCAACCACCTCTGAATCTTCCACAACTGCCACCGTCCCCGCAACTTCCGCTGTTCGACGGCGGCCTGTACGACTTTTACGATGCACCGCATGCCGACGAGACGTTCCGTGTCAACCTGTTGGACAAGCGCGACGACAACCGCCGCCACAGCACGGTCCGTTTCAAGCGCAGTTGGATTCCACTGTTCCGGCAGCCGATGTCCGACGTCACTCCCGTCACCGACGTCACTGCCCCCCGGAACGCCCGGTCCAACGTCGGTGATCCGCATGACCGGAAACGCGAACCGGCTGAGTGGGAGGTGATGAAAGTAGCCAGCGTGTGCTCGGCCTGCGTGACGGATCCGTTCGGCGCAGCTTCTGTCCTGTCCTGGCACGAGACCCGCAAACAGTTCTACAACGGCGCCCTGTACTTGCCCGCTCTGCCGAAGTGCTATTTGTTCTGATGAGATTGCGTGCCCCACACCGATTCGCCTCCAACTCTACCACCAATCTTCCGGACTAGCCGCCCACCGCTGACGCGATATCGCCATACCCACTTTATTATAAAGCACGATGGCGGTGGATGGTCAAGTCACTGTACATACTTATACATATAATATTATTATTATTATTAATTGAGCGTAGAACTTTATAGTATTATTATTTAATTTTAATCTTATACATTAGTACTATATGCACATAATATTGTTTCAAGATAAGACGTCGGGTGTCACGGCCGTGATGCAATCCATACACTGGACTTTATGCGATTTGAAAGTCTTGCTAAAACTAAAAATCTATTGATGCAATATTTTTGATGTCAGTTTTTTTGCCAAAAGAAATGTTCTCTGGTCACTCCAGGGAGACGGTTTTTGAAATCGTAACGTAAAAAACCATTCCGAGAGCGAAATCGAGTGTAGCAAACGGTCAGCCCGGCTGTATAGTATAAGACTAGTTATTTATTTATAAACTGTATTCTACAGTACTGTACGGCAATCGTACAACAAAACAGTATTAAAAAAAATATATATTAAAAACATTAATTATTACAGACAACGCATAATCACCGCTTTACTATTGCATTTTCACCCTAATCGCCGGCCACTTGAACGCGAAGGTTGTAACTACTCCGTATATTCCCAACAATAATAATATTGTTGTTATTAAAAAAAAAATTGTTCCACCAATAATTTTGTAATCCTGGCGCTTGTTTTTTATTTGTCTCACACGAGTAGATACAAAATCAAATTTAGTGTCTAGAACACTTTACCAGGTTTCAGCCGAATGGGAGGATAAAAGGATCGGATATTTGATCCCGAAATTTCATTATTTCCGTTTACAACAAAACACATTTACAGAAAAAAACATCTATGGCTTATTTTTAATTACATTTTGAAGAGTAGTTTGTTTTTGTGAAATCAACATACATAATACTGTTGTAATTCGTTATTTCGACAGGACACTTGATATTCAGTAGAACTCATTTCAGATATAAAAGAAAAATATAAACTCAAAAATTCCACAAATTGAGAGGAAAAATAGGGGTGAGCACATTTGGTGTATCACCCTGTATCTATACACTATACAGGTTCATAGGTTGAACACATTGGTATTTTGGGTTCTGTGCGTGTACCTTTTTTCTTTTTATAAAATGACGTGCCATGCGCCATAAAATTCGGTCTGTAGTCAATCAAAGGCTTTGATCGAACTTTAGGGATCGCTCTATTCATCCATATCAATTGAACGCGAAGGCCATATAAATAATTACATCCGATAAATCTTCTTACCTATTTGGTGCAACATATACATTACAATCGATCGGATTCCAGATTACAGGACTGCCGCAGGATATCTATTTTAATGCTGAAATTCCTTCTATACGAACTATACTTCCATTTTACTTAGAACAATCGCCCCCACAATCTAACAACATAATTAATACGTCGTACAAATCTTTCGGGCACAAAACTGTACAATTACGTAGGACAATAATTGTTATTTTTTCGTTGTACATAATATATCATAATAGTATGTTTAGTATGAATTGTTTACGTTGAGCATAAGGAATAAATTATAATACAAGGTTCTTTTAGCTTAGTGTTTGTTGAAAATAATTGTATAACTGTGATATTGTTACCGTGTATATAAGTATATAATATATCAAATAAAATAATATATTTTATGTACAAATATTATACCAATTTATGTTTTTGATATCGGAATGTTTATTTCAAAAATCAACTGTTCAATAATAGCTAGTGATTTTTAAAAAAAAGTAGAACAATCAAATTACGTTTTTGAACCAACATAATATTATGAACTATTTTTAATTAGGAAAAATGTGTACTTTATACTTGCTGTGGCTGTAGAATACTATATATGTAGTCTTAACTAATTTATTATTTATAGTATATGATATGGATTTAATTACATTTTTAGTGCTCGGTGAAAACATGTATTATATACCTATATAATACCATTTTGTAAATAAATGTAGGAATTAATATTGATTCGTATGTATACAGAAAGTTATTGAAACACTAATCTGAGTTTCAATATTAAAATTAAAATTAACTTAATTATTTCGAAGTTAATATTTTATTGTACCTATCCGTTGGTACTTGGTAGTATCCCATGTAGCCCAAGACGATGATTAAAATGCAAATGGTGCTTTGACATAACCGACTACAATCAACGCCAAAAACCAATAGTAAGTTTCTCATGACTAATTAATCATTTAGGATTATTGAAAAATAATAATTTACTAACTGTGTGCGCCAACTTATTTATAATAATAAAATATGTCCTATAGCATAAATCTAAGACATTCAAATAATTTCCTAACCACGAGTATTCATAATTATATAAATACTAGAATACAATTTCAAATAGTCAAATATGGAAATTAATTAATTAAAATATATTATACAAATTATAAAAGTATGATTTTTATTTTTATAATATTTAATTGGAATGCTATCAATATGCATATTAATTGCATATAAAATAATAACTATGAAGTAGGAAAAAGAAATATATTTTAACTAAATAAATACTAAAAATTAATTTTATAAATCATATTATTGTTCAGACTTTGGAGACAAGTATGAAACATAAATATATTTGTAAATGAGTATTTATAATATTGTAATATCGAAAATGGTTTAGTAATATTAATGACTTCAATTGTGTACCGAAATGTACCAATAAATTAATTATATTACCGATTTATTATATCTATTATTTACTAATTTACAAGTTTAATTCGTAAAATCTCCTACTTTTTGGTAGGTATAAAATGTCTCTTTATTTCAACGCGCATTATTAAAATGTGCAAAATTATACAATAAAATACTTTATAGGAAGGAATAATAGCATGCATGACTTAACGTTAAGCACAATGGTTTCACCGGAGACTAAAGTTTGTTTATGCATTCTTTGCAACATATATATAAGTCTTATAAAAGGTATCGGCTTAATGTAATATGCATTTTTCTGAGATGTACAGTACTACGAGTTTCCTCTCTCTGTGAGTGTAATAAGAAGAGGAAACGGAAATGGATTTAAACGAATACCCGAGTTGTGAGAAAATAAACAAATCGTGTATAAGCGACTTGATAAATAAATTCGTTTCAAAACCACAGCACATAAAATGGGTAAAAAATTGAACACAATAGCCATAATACCGGACAAATGGTTGCCTCGTTTTACCGAAATACTCTAGATCGCACGAAAATCGTGAAGATTACCAACTCTAATACTAGGTAGTAGATATACATATAGACGCATCATACTGCGACTTACCTTGGTCTTGTGTATGTGTTGATGTTGATATTCCGAATCGAATTCCGGCTCGCTAAAGTACGATTGATCTTGGTCCCATGTAGGTGCGGCTATCGTGAGGCCCTGGGGTAGAGGGCCGCCCTCGGCTGACTCGAAAAGTCGCAGCACTGACCTGTCTCGGATGTCGTTGAGGTGTGACCTGCGAAGTGAAACGATACATGTATAAAGATTAGAGTACACACGCAAACGATGAGCAAACACTAAGCTACCCTAATATAATTGGGAAAAACTGGTAGGGCGGGGGTGTACATTCTGCGGGTACCTATGTCGTCACCACCGCGGACACGTTTCCTTTGCGGTATGTTTGCGAACGAATCACCACGACCAAAACGGTTTTTGGAATTTGTTCAAAGGATAAATCAACCGGCGACCGCTGCCGACACCGCCACCCCGCGATTATCCTTTTCCTCGGGGAAAGCTTAAAACGGATCGCTTCGCGCGCTACTCGCACGATACCAGTCGAAATGAAAGGGTGCAATATCACTCGGCGATTCGCTGCGGTCTTATAGGATTTATAAAATGTCTGCCACGCCAACCATTCTGTATATAATATAAATATAACACACATTCTATAGGTGCGAGCGTAATACTCTGTGATGGGACAGCAATTACCACCAAGCCATAACCCACCAACCGACACCAAATTTCAATAGTAGCGTCGATTGGCGAGAGGGGGGGGGGGGGCAGGACGACAAGGTGAGATGCCGTTCGTTCGTTTAATATTTCGCTCGCTAAACATCGGTGAAAGAGTCGACTCTGACCTACAGCTACAAAGTTCGTTAAAAATGTACCGCGTTTTCGCGTATAAACGCATATGCATTCTACATAATATCATCATCATATTATACTGCTAACATGTTGTTGACCGGGATCCAGGGCATAAAACAAAAATTGTATTAATGCGCCGACGTTGCGAAATTAATTAATTAATAATTAAGTTTAATCCTCCGGCGATCTAACGCCTCCCGCAGCGAGGCAGCACTACACGCGCGTAATACTGTTTCATCCGGTGGAGGTGTTTTATGGGGCCTCGTTAAATAATTAAAACATATGCTGGCCATAATACACACACACATATATTGTACGTAGACATTTATCGTTTAATGAAATATTAATTCAAAAATAGTCCTTTTTTTCTATTTAATAATGATTAAACACGTGCTGTAACATAAACCTACTGTTTATTACATTGAGAGAAGGATACACATAATTATTTTAACTTTAATAAATTGATACTACCTTTACCAGTAGGTATGTACCTAAGAATGTAATTTTTATTAATAAAAAAAAAATTTTCGCGTTGTTAATGTACCAACATGTTTTTTTTTAAAAACATTTCTTTAAAAATCATATAAAAGGCAAAATATAAGGAACTTTTTTTTATATTATTAAAATAATTAATTATTTTTCTTTTTATTATTTGTTAATGTTAACCTAAGTAAATCCAAAACGAATGAAAACTTAACATATTATATTATTTTAATGATGAATTTTAATTTATAAACATAATGAAATTATTTTTAAAAACTATTTTTGCATTTATTTTGTGAGTTAAATTCAAGTACTAAATTATTTACCAACCCGGGAATAAAAAATGTAAATCACGAATTAATAAATATGTCAGCATATTATTAAACCAAACTTTAAAAGCCAATAAAAAGATAATATATATATAATTTTAACTATTATTAAAATTTGATTATATGATAAAATGACTGTATTTTAATATTCACTTTATAAACAAAAATAAAAATGCATATTTTATCAAATTACAAATCGCCGAAAATCAGAAATAATAACAAATTTCATCCCGAAAACGGATGACATTTTTGTAAATAGTATTTATACATAATGCAAGCGCGAAAATTATTAAGTTATGACAAAATGTTAACATATTACTCTTTTGTGTACACAAAAGTCACACGCCACGCTCATTTTGTGTTTAATGTGCACGTCGTATGCATTTTCGGAATTTTCACGTAGCGTATTGTGTCGCAGTGCATCATATATAACTGGGTCTGCTTAGAATATTATATCATTTCCCTTTTTAAACATTTACGGTTTATTATTATTATATATTTTTTTTAAATTACGCAGGCTATCTGTAGTCATTATTCATACTTAAGGTATGCGCTTTTACATAAAAAATTGCTGTTGTTGGACGATTTTTCGTTCGGGCATTTTTAGAGCGTAGGTACACGTACGTTCTACTACCTAAACCGCTATTATATCGCTTGCTATATATTGAATTCTGGGGTATTTTTAATACTACATTGTTGTTAAACATTTAAACCCCTCTGCCACTGCCGGGTCTATCAACCGCGAAATTACGTGCGGAGTATTTTTATCTGTAACGTCCGGGATCTTAAATCGATCACCGAGAAAACACCAACACGATTTTTTTGCTCACGAGTATGTATAAACATATATATATTACGTAACAATTAATAGCGAGAGGTTCAGTAAAGCATCAGAAACAACAACTGACGTGCGCAAATCACAATTCAGCGTACTGGTGTTTATACTGATTAAAAAAAAAAAAATAGAACATTTTGAAAATACACGTGGTTTTCGGTTTTAGGTTTCTAAACATAGGTAAGTATAGAAAATCTATTAATACCCCCGCTGTGTCCGTCCGTTAGTTACCATAGTACAAAATTAGGATTTTTGATATTGATTTTCCCATTTTATAATAAATTACTATTCATAATTCAAAACAAAAATGTAGAAAATATACATTTAAACTCAATAGAGTTTTATTTATACGAATATTTTAATACTATACAGTTGAATAAATAAATAATTTAAAGCGGTTCAATTCATAGCAAATTCATACAAGTCTTAGTAATAAAAAATATACCAAAATATGAGTATTTAATATTCGTACTAGCCGATATTAAAAAATAGATACCAAAATGTAAAAATAACCATAATATTTTTAAACTGTTCATGGAATATTATTGTTTATTGTATTATACTACAATGTTTTACATCGCTAGCTTTCCTAACTTTTAGGTAATATCCAATAATAAATTAACGTTTACATCAAACGTAATTTAAACTTTAATATATATTATATAGGTACGTCGTATGTGTAATACGTGTGTATAATACGATAAATGAGTATATTATCTGTGCATTCGACGAATTCATAAAATATCATAATTTAATATGATATCGTTTTAGTGGTTAATCTGTATTCAAGATGGAAAATAATTGATGGATAAATTCCTGGGTGGGTGCTTGATCGTCACAGCATCGTTGTAGGATAACGCGAGTATATTGTGTCTATTATAAACTACTACATAATAGTATTAATATTATAGCTGTTGTTGTTTAATGTCTATTAAATGTCCTATATAAACGTGTATATATTATAATAAGCTCTCCATAATATTGTATAATAATATTACAACCTCAGAGATGATTATTCAACAAAATATTCAATCGAACAACACCGTTTCGTCGTAGCGGTGGTCGCTTGTGTTCATCAGTGAAAATACATTAAAAAATTAAATTAAAAACCGATGCGTCAACCGTTGTAGTATTTTACAGTTTACATTTACGTAACTGCCGATATACTAGTTGCCAATGTTTATGTGTATGACATTGTCAATACCTAAACGCATAATGTAAATATGCAGCCCCTCCATAAGTCTGTTATTGTAGATAAAGTAAATCGCCAATTTAAAGACACATTGCAGTACAGTACTTATGCCGGAATAACTCATTTATACTCGTAATATTATAATATTATAATACTATTTTCTAATCTTACTGACCTTAGATGATAAAAGTCGATCAAATCCAGATTCGATATCATTTTTCAACAAAAAAATTCGTTAATATATTTTGAAGGACTATCTTTCGTCGTATTGGCACTTAATCCTCCATCACACGTACATTATGATCGTAGGGCTTAACGTGATATAATTATACAGACCAATTACATGTGGTTGTCACACTTGCGACTATCGTAAATCAACAACGTGCGACTCGTATAGTTTATACAATCGAAGCTCTGGGCTGTGATTTGTGGTATAAATGACAAACTACCTGATTAGTACTCCGAGCCCGAGAAACAAGCGATGTTCACATTCCGTTTGCAAATTTCGTATAAAATCGGTTCAGTCAACATAATATTTAATCGATAAACTAAGCAGTTTCGAAAACAGCAGCTAGAACAACAACAACAACACTAATACGTATGAAATATTGTGATATTGACGGCATTACTATGGATGGACTGTAAAATGTATGAGGCATAGTCTATCTAACTTTTTAGGTTTTATAAACCTTAAAACAGTTCAAATGTACATACTTATATATAAAAGTAAAAGTAAAGAATAGTTTCATCGAAAGATGGGCTTTTTTAAGTTTTTAAACTATAATAAAATAACTAATTCGATGTTTTCAAAAATTGGTGTTGCATACTACCTGTTCTAGTGTTTCCTAAACAATTGTTAGTTTTTCTCAATGAGCAGTTTTTCTAAAAGACAATGTGATGAGATTTATGATGAAATAAAACGGTATTTAGTGTCCGATTTTTGATACTTTACTTTCAACAAAAATCAATTATATTTTTCGAAATAATCTTAGTACCTCTACGGTTATAAAATGTGTTATGTAATAATTGTTATATTTTGTATAGAAAGGTACATAATATACGTTCTCGTGAAAATTAATGCTATTCGTTCCATCGAATAATGTAAAAACATTAACATTCGACCCTCATAAATCTTTTTAATGGGGAATAGTAAATTTGATTTTGAAAATAAAAAATTATCTTTTGAATTTATCATTGTCTATTGATAAACCATATTTAGTGTAGCGTACATAAACAATAATATATTTCCAGCAAAAAAACAAACAATAAAACGCATATACAACATTTTTTTTTAAAATTATGTTTGCATTATTCATTTACATTTCCCCACTTTATCTTAATACATAGACAGAAGAAACGGCAGAAACGGCCACCGCGAGTGCTTCCATAAACTTTCTGCTAGGATTTTTTTGTTTTTGTTCCGACATGCATTTTAGCGTTCATATTATAATGCGTCACACTGTGATTTTTTTTTAAATAGACAAAAAGGTCACCAGGCATATACAATGAAACTACACACTCAACAAATTATTATATATAATAATAATATTATTCGGTGAAACATCTAAATATCTTATACTCTCTGTCGCAGAAATTTTGTCCGCTATTTAGAGGGTTCAGTTTGTATAAAATTAGTAGTTTTTCTGAGAAAAAAGTAAGCTATTTGGAGGTATCTGTGGTTTTGAGGTGACGCTAGTATTAATTTATTACACGTTCATTGCTACAATCTTTGTTTAATCTTATACTAGGGATTTTCATATTTCTTTATGCAATCGTTCAAATTCAGATTTTTAGAATTATTAAATAGATTAAACATTTTTCTGTTTTATTGAATACTTAGTCAAAATTATATTTACTTAAACCCATTCAATTTATTTGCAACATTTAAGGAATATCCACTAAATTATGAGTGGAGATACAAACTTTTTTTAAGATTTAAAACTAATATTTTTAAGCACATGATATTTTACAGAAAATGTATGTATCTAAATCAAAATTAGAAAAAGTATTTTCTGAGTTGTTAAACATAATTTACTTTAAATAAAATACACCATGGTAATAATTATATTATATTGAGCAATGATGAGTCGAAAATTATATTAATTTATATTAATTTAAGTAACTACTTATAATGACATATTATCATCATTTATAAACATTTTTTTAGTAGAAAAAATACTAATATTACATATTGTATTTTATTTTATAAGTAATTAATAAAGATTTAAAACCAAAAACCTAAATAACTCATAAAATAGTTCTAATTCCGTTTTATGCATTAACATTTTCAAAAATATCATATTATTCTTAAAAATTACAATAAAAAGAGTGGTTGACAATTGAGAGGAAACTAAAGTTTGCATTGATACAGGGCCCAAATTAAATTGTATAAAAATGTAATAATTTAAAAAGATGGTGAGAATGGTTAATCACTAGAGTTTACACAATGGTTCATAAATCATACCTGAGATCTTCCAGCTCGTAAAACATGTCTTTCGACGAATCGTGAATATAGATCTTGACGAGAGCCGAGTCCATGTATTCCATGGTGAGTTGTTTTGGAAAAGACCGGACGAACAACGCCTTGACAGTGTCTATGGAGGTGATTTCATTCGGTAACAGTGCTCTTTTCGTTTCGCTACGGTATTGCAAAAATACCAGACCTAAACTCACAAGAAAAAAAATTGAATAAATTATTTGATTTCACTGGGTTTAAAAAATGAAAAAGTATACAATATGAACAGTTTGTAGACATTTTGAGTTGTTAATTATTAATTATTAATTATAGATGCATGCAAACGTCGTGGGATGATGGTTTTATATATTATGTATAAGTAACTTAAGTACAATACATGTTTTTTTTTAAATTACAAGGTTTTATTTGTAAAGAAAAATAAAATGTTTAAATCTACGGTTTTAAAAAACAAAACAAAAACAAAGAAAAAGAAAACGAGGAAAAAATAATTGTTTCTAAATTACCGCGCGCTCTGGGGACAAATATATAAAAAAAAAAGGTTAGTGATATTGATATGCCAGGAATGTAAAATTTTCTAATTTTGATGTGATGTGTTTTCCTGCTTTAGTTATCCACTACAAGAATAACAGAATATTTATCTGATGAGGGTATGTACAAACAACAACAACAGCAACAACAACAAAAATCACAAAAATGCCTCAAAAAAAAAATAAAAAATAAAAAATCTTTAACGTGAAGTAATAAAACTAAATACAAGTACATTAACATTTTTTTCTCTAAACAAATCATTGTCATTGGTATTTACTCTTTTCTAATTACCTATTAAAATATTGTAAAATTTCACAATGACATTTATTTTTAAATTGTTATGATGATGCAAATTATGAGTTTATTAAATCGCCGTTTACTGTATACGTTTTTAAAACAACTTTTATTACATTTCATTTTAAAGTATGTATTAAAGTTTATTTTTTACGGCCTGTGTTGCTTGGTACCGTTGAATTAACCATCCTTTAAGTAACATTTATTTTAAGCTTCAAAAAAGGCAATTAAAATATATTATTTATACGACGATATTAATTTTACAACACTTATCATGGATCAATACATTTTGTGGTTGTGATAAAACATTTTTTATTAAATTCGAAGCGATTTTAGGTATATCTGTATAAGTTATATTATATAACACTTAATATTTAATAAAAAGTTTAAATATTCACTTCGTTTTCTAAAAATCTAGTTTTTTTTAACAGTTTTAAGGTTAATAGGCACTTGATTTATTAAAATATCAAAAAAATAAAAAAGTTTATGTAAAAACGAAGTGCAAGATAATTCTTAAAACCATTAAACTTGACTAGGAAATTACAATGTAAAAAGTTAGTTGAATCTTCTTTTATAGATACAAAACATTCTCTTTATCTCAGTCAACTTTTGTTTTTAATCTATGTATTCTATGTATGTATTTATTTCATATGGTTTAAAATAATTTTAAGAATACAATATATAAACACGTTATTTATATCATTATATGAGTTATGTGAATCCAACCTTTCAAATTAAAATTCTTTTAATTTTTTGTTTTTGTTTTAATTTTTTTATACGTAAATATCAGAATTAATTATTATTTATTATTATTGTCAAATGTATAAGTCAATGATCATACTTGTTTACTTTTTTATATTATAGGGCTCAGCTAACTAGTATACTTTAAATTAATTAATTGATTAATTACATTTATGTCAAATGATACAACAAATATAAAAGTATAGAATACTCTATAATCCATTTAGTGTTTTACATTTGCTAGACACTTAATATAATTTGAAATACTAGGTACTATAATTTGTAGAACTGTTATAGTACCTAATCTATTTTTAGTGAATTGTATTTTGAAATGTTAAAAATAGAAGTAATAAATACAACATTTGAGATAGTACATATATCCCATGTTTAATGGGTCATCTGTTACATATATATATATTGTTTTTAGTGTCAAATCCAGTGTGCACGTAATAATTTCGTCGTTTCCAGTACATGTGAATAATTTCTTAAACAAATTATGTTTTTGTAAATTTTGAATTTAATAATAATATGATATATTGTTTGTGCATTATAGTATTCACATTTATTTATATATTTTGATTTGTTTAAATGGATTTAACAACATTTATACAACACATAATAAAATATACCATGTTTTTTACATAGATGAAACTAACCATTAATTGTAACTTGTAGTTGCTTATTGTTATTTTTGGATTGTCAGTTGGTCCTTGGGCCAGTTTTTTTAAGACTCTTAGTTGGGATAATTTAAATTGAATTAACCTAAATTAATAATCACAACTGGCTATGAAACAATAACTAAAAAAATATAATTATTTATAAATATAATCAGTGATCAGGATATTACGATAATGTATTTACCAGTGTTTTTAAACTTATTATTTCATTGGATATTTATATACATATGCAAGAGTATTTATATTTATATGTATAAATTGACTAATAGATTCTATAATTTAATATTATAATTCAAAAAATTTAACTTAAAACATAAGATATTATATTATAGTGACATAAAGGGTTTCACCTACTATTCAAAAGGAATCCGAGCTAATAACGTACCTATTTATATTTTTCGAAAAATTGTAGGTAAGATACTTTAAATTGGTTGGGTTATTCAATAATTTTATGATACCTAATATTATATTATATTATTAATAAGATAGTATCATAAGTTTACAAGTAAACATTTTTTAAGATTTCGTTTAGATCTACGTTAAATATAAATACGTTATTTGTCATTGTGTCACAAAAAATATTAAACTTTAAAATGTATTTGAAGTCATGAGTGCACACTTGAACTATGATTATTTCAATTGACTTATATGTATGCAAATCCCGTTCTTGGACTAAAGAAGTCTGATCAAAAGAAAAATGTGAAGAATGTGTTTTCCGTACGTAAATATATAATTATTGTACATATATTTTATTACTTAAATTATATGATCTTGATTCAAAATATCATATACATATAATGTAGCATACTCATGTTCTCAAATTCAACTTAATAAATACACGTGTCTTACACTCCTGAGTCAAGTATTCACGTCATTTGTGTGTTAAAAGTCATTTAAATTTAAATTAAATGATTTCTAATGTGAAAATTGTATATCTATATATTTATAAAAACAAATGAATATACGTTGGAATGTGTATTGTTTTTAGGTGTATGAATGTAAAAAAAATAAACATATATTTTGTATATATATATATTTGTAATAATAAAAAAAACACGAAAACGAACTTTCCTGTCGCATGCAATAACTATAAGACGACGGTATAATATAATATAAAGGATAGAAATAAATATAAATTAAAAAAAATTGTGTTTTGTGCCTGACATACAAAAGCTAACAGTAAAAAGGTGTGTGTGGTTTCTTAAGACATTTTTTTTTTTACCAAACATTATGCATAATAAACTATGGCTCACCTAAACTTTGTCGTGGGTGAGTCATCATATTATGGAAAGCCATTTCGTCATTCAACATCGGGTCACCTTTCAAGACATAAATTACCATAGCTCACAGTTTTAAGATTAAAATATATTTCGTAACACTAACATATTATACACAATCTGTACGTTGATATATATATATGAAGTAATAGGGATGAGCAATGCCGGAGATTCGATTAAACCGCTATAGAATTGTCCGCGGAGATAATATTGTATTCTGTATTTTTGATAAATTATACCGATTCGTTTAAACACAAAGTGATTTATTTTGTTTCAAGAAATTGCAATCTGATGATGAACTATTTCCCTGGGAGTGTTCGATAAGAACTTGAATAAAGCACATTAAGAAGTTTTTATTAACGGTGCTCAAAGGATAGTATATAGTTGAAAATCGATATCGAAAGCTGCAGCTCAAATTCTTAGTTAAAAACATCTAAATTAAAATACGTCTTTCTTCACGTCTTTTTAAATGAAAAAAAGTATACCTATACTACATCCAACGTTTACGGCATTAGTTTTTGCTAGACATTTTATAATAGTATATAAAATTACTTTATTGTCTTTTGTATATAAAACGAATCGTGTCAAAAGAAAAGATAATATTATAAATATAGATACTGTGCATAATTAGGTACATTAAAAGGATTATAATAATACATTAATACATAGGTATTACTGTAATAACATGTTGTGTTTTGGTCACGTATAATATGTAATATAAAGCTACGACGAAGGAAAAAAATGTACAAAATGCAATATAAACAACACTATGTAATTAAATAAAATATCTACAATGGGGTTTATAAAACGATTTTTTTCTCCAAATATATGTGTGTGTCTTTAAACTAAATTAAAACAATCTGATTTATGATCGATATAATATGTGTGTGATGTTTACACTGCGTTTTATTCATTGGCAACTAAATAACTACTATTCGGGATCGTACACATTTATGCATATCTATATTAGTATGAAATGCTTATAATACACACGTCAGTATTTCTTTGAGCCAACAGTCCGGACTAAACTTATGATCTAATTCTATTCAAAATGTTTACTACAATAGACATCGTTTAAGCAACCGAATGTAATTCGAGCCAGATGTATATCTGGCCTCACGGTACCCCGAATCATGTCAAAAGAGGTATAAACCTTCCCTTTCAACATAAAATCACGTGTTTCTACCTCAAAACTATTAAATCTCATCTAAAACGTTATTGTATACATTTTGCAGCTATGGAAAATACCGAAACTAACTATATTGTTGTATACGAGTTTATGTAAGTACGCATTTCCAAGCAATTCGTTACAATTTTGTTTTACTAATTAATTATTTTGACTGCACAAAAGTACTTAAAATTTGCATAGTTTTCTTTTTGTAATACCTGAATAAGGTTTTATGTAAGATTTAAATTAACAAACTCACTTATTTATATTTTAACAAAAAATTCATTTAGTCTTATAAAATAACGAATACTTGCAAATAAAATACGTTAGAATATGCATTTTAAAAATAATATAATAATGTCTGATAAACTATGGGAATCTAAACAACATTTTATACGAAACTTCGTCCATAAATAACAAAACAAAATGTCTGATTTTTTTTTTAATATACAACTGTTGGACTTTTCTACATGTTTTTGACAACGTTGTACGGCAAGTTTGCACAAATATATTTTTGGGTTGGATTCATTCCGTCGTATATATATTATATATCATAATGTTGCATTATTAATGTACAAAGTTTGAACACAAAACGAGAAAACGTGTTATCGGAGATGTATTTAGAACATACAAATTATTACTCTCGGAATCGACGTTTAAAAATAATTTAAAAATAATATTTTATTGTACGTAACGTTTCTGTTTCATCAGACATTAAAAGACAATTTTGATTTATATATTATACTGTGCAAGACTTTGGTTAAAATACTGTTTCAACCTTTGACATTTTGGAAACACAACAAATCGAGTGGGTAAGTTACAAGAAATGCTATTCAATCATTATTATAATATTTGCATTAATTTTCAAAGTTTTAAAATGCAAAAGCTTGTGAGAAAACACGGGGTTTAATCTTTCCAGGTATGTTATCGATTAATATATTATAATATTACAATGGTTTCTAAATTATGCACATTTTAATGTGCTCACTTACCCAATGGTCGCTCTAAAGTTTTCGACGGGGTCCTGACCACCGGCAATGAGCTTCTCTGTTTGTTACCTCTTCGGAACCCGGTAGAACTGGTTTCAACTTCAGACATTATGCCTGGATCGTCATCGAATAGCATCCCAGTAGCCGGTGGATACCCTCCTCTCGACGCTGGAGACTGTAGAAAATCGGAAGACGGTTCAAATTAGTAATTGTCGTAATAATGTACGTTTTGTTGAATTCACAATAATGGTAACATTCATTCAACACATTACTTTTTATGTACTATAATAACAAAAATAAATAATAATAATAAAAATAAAAAGCGATCTGTATTACAAAATAAAAGTACTCATCTGTTAAACATAATTTTTTATTTTTTTTATTAATTATCATAGACTATTGGGTGTTATAAGCTGTTAAATGGAGTTGCGGCAGGGTTGATACGGTTGTTGGAAACTCTTGTATGTGTAGCAAGGTTTTTTCTACTAAGAACCCGGGTGGTCACCCATCCGGGAACTAGTAGCAGTAGACTTTTGCGTACTCTCAATCACGTTGAGTGACTAATTACAACGACTGCGCCACGCCAATTCATTGTTAAATATTATGAGACACTATATACCTACCTAGTAATAAATTGTAATAAAAACTTATATGCGCCTATCATATGTGGATCGTAACGGTCTGATCACGGAAAAAAAATAACCAGTGAACCCCTGACATACCTGCATGACCATACACCAGTTACGACAAAAAGTGAAAACAAATTGAGTAAAATATGTGATATATAAACTACTGGAATGTATTGAAAAATAGATTGCAAAATTATGTGAATGTATTTAAATAATAGGTAATATAAAATATAAATGCATATTCAAAATATTAATAAAAATCTCAAAAGTTTTAAATTAAAACAGAAAACGTAAAACATCACAATAAAAATGTGTGGCTCAGGTAGCTACAACATATTTTCTTGGAATATTATGAAAATGTAAAATAATAATAATAATTACAATGACCTGCAGTTCACCGTATACTGAGAAATGCCTGATTTTATACTTAGCATATTTGCAAAGTCGTATTAGTCAGATCTCAAGTTGTGTATTTTTTTTGTTGGTTTGACGTACTACTGGCGCAGTAGTCATAACAACGGATAAGCACCTCCATAAAAAATATGACCATACGCAAATTTCCAAAATACGTGACAGATAGAGTAAAAAAATTTGAAGTTACATGCGAATTGTTGTTTTTATAACATCGTTGTAGTGGATGGTGAGTACCTACCAACAAAAAAGCGTAAAATTTAGTTGTAGTATATTATAATATCTTCATAAAATATAAAAATGCACTTAAGAGTGTAATCGTTCAATTAAATTTAAAACTCCGTGGAATCGAAAAAATGTGTTTTTGGTATTTAAATCAAAAATATAATAACTAATTGGATTCACAGACCGTGTAAAAACAAAAAAACACTTGAAATGAGCATAAAATATAAATTCTTTATCAATTACTATGTATTTGAAATAAAAATTGTTATAATCGGTTCAAAAAAAAAAAAAAGAGTGAACAAATAATATTGTAAAAACCACCATGATTCGATCATACAATTTTTGTATTCACTGAAACATACAAAGCCGTTAAATGTACTATACAAACAGTTGAAACTGCTGTCAAACACGTTTGCGTTAGTAAAAATCGTACCAAAACCTTAATGAGAGAATTAAGATTATAATTATATACAAATATCCGTAATGTGGGGCGATGACTTACTTTTTTCCGTTGCATTTTGGTTCCCATCTATAATAGCAGCGCACACCGCAAAGCAAACAAAACGGTGGCAATAAAACAACAACAAAACATTCATTTAGTTACGGTAAAAGCAATAGCACAATACATATTTATTACAATAATGGTGTTTCTTTTTTTTTTTATCATTTACGCACGGGCAATAATAATATATTTAGCGGCGAGGCAGCTGAACCTATAAACACGTCGGTCATTGTACGCAGCTAAGTATATTGATATTGTATTTTGTATGAATTATTGTGCTCAGAATGAAAAAAACCAAAATTTTTTCGTTCGTTGAACGACTCACCTCCAAGTCCATGGACCTCGTCAGGGCCGGTTGATAGTTGTGATGTTGATCGCCAGACAGCGTGTGCCTCCGGGGATCGTCTCTCCTCGAAGACCGGCCACGGCGGAGTTCATCGCCTGCGAAAAGAACAAAGACATGAATGATGCGAACAATCTTGTAACAGGTCCATAAATTAGTGTACTTTTGTATTTAAGGGTGGAGTGGGGAGGAAAGGTCAAATTAAAATATTGACGATACATATAGTTACATATTTTTTTCATAATTACATTCGTTATTTACTATCATAATATATTCAATTATAATTATAATTATATTTATTATTATACCTGGGTTGGTAAAATAATAATACAAAATTTATTTAAATCCATCCCCTCCAATTCGCCACTAAAATACGTTTAAACTAAGAGTAAATGAAAAGATTCAGTAGGTACACACGACTTGCGAAAAATGTTTTTCCACTCGAAGTCGATAAGCTGCACAGAGTCTCATACATAGGACACATTCAATGCCCTATGCATTTATCCTCATTGCCCAAAGAAGGGTGTTGATATTCGAATGGTCGATAAATGATAGCTCCAGGTTTAGTACCTAGAGGTAATTTTTAAAGTTTTTTTAACGAAATACTTATTTTTTTCATATCATACGATATTTTATAGGAACGATGGAATTGAAGAGCTTATTTAGGCTACACTCGGTTAGTCCTAAAGCGATCGAGTATAACATTCAAAGTTTTAAGTGTGTATTTAAACGGCAAGGTTGAGGTAATATATATCGAAAACGATTATTTTATTACGATTGCTGTCCGTATTATTTTTTTAATAGTCTTGTACATTTTGTGTATATTATTTACAACTGTCGTGCTTTAGTCCACCCCATCTACTAAAAATAAATAAATTTTATTATATTTCTGTTATACGAAAATTAATTCAATACATAATAATATAGTCTGTAATTTAGTTGTTCGCGATTGGTTTGTTTAATACGTATTATAATGCGTTACAATTTGTAACTTACAAACACTAAAATCGATTAATATGCATATAATGTCGATGTCATTGTATATTGTCATAATCGATTATCAATTAGTCTTACATCGGGCGTTTGAAGAAGATAAAACGTTATCCGATGCAAAGCGGCAGAATATATTATATTGCTCTCGATATAATATTTATGAAGCGGGCATTTGAGCTAAATGTCTTGAATATATATTTACGTGAAAAACCGAACTACGGAATATATTGAAAAGATATGCGAAAAACCATAAAATACCAATACCAATACCTCGTAGTAAACACCAATAGAAATAATTATATGATCTCAAAAAACGTTAAACAAATATAACATGATAAAAAAAATATACATTTAAAGTTAGACTTTATTTATATATTCAGGATACATGTTCAGAAGTAAGTTTATACGTTACGTTACATTTTATATGTATGTATACTAAACGTTTCACAATAAAAATGAACGAAATCGTGAAAAATGAAGAGTGGGCAATAGTCAATAAGTATATATTATTATTTATTGTATTAAAACTGGTTTCCACTATATGGTGCAGTGTATTTAATGCGACTCATCAAATTATATTGTTTATGTAGTCATCACTGATATTATAAAATTAAAAGTGCAGATCAAATGTTCTTGAAAATGATGTATAACGTAAATAAAATCTTATGCAAATAATGACAAAATATAAAACTATTAATCTTCAGTTAAAATAATACTTTAGAACCGACGAAGTACAGTATATACCTATACCTGCATTATAATATATTCTAGAATTTACAATTAAAAGTGGTTTACGTTTTTAAAAAATATTTAACTATTGTCTTAAATGTAAATATGCAAATAAACTATAAAAATGTGAGTGTGTTTATCTTTATAGAAATCATAAATATTCATTTGGCTTAAAATAAATTTAAAAAAATATAAAGATCGTTATAAAATGCCCGGTGTAAATCTAGCTATATATTATCATTGAGTGGTAAAAAAATTAAAATATGTTAATATATTATTATTCTGTTAGTCTCTTTTGTTTTTGTTATTAAGAAAAAAAAACAAACATTATAAGTTTTTAAATAATTATTAAGGTGTTTAGCTAGAATCTTACCGATACGTCTTATAATATTAGAATTTAGTTGTAACAAATATATAATTGCTAACACGGCACTTTGTATAGGCAATTTTGATACACGCCGTTATACCATCACGTATTTACGTATGCCATGTAAAATTATATTACATTTTTTTTAAGGTTATAAGAAATTCAAGAACTCTTATTTCTTTTTTTTTATTATTATTGATCATTAAATACATTTACATCCAGGCCATTAGTATAAGAATTTTGTAATAGGTTATGTGTTATTTACATTAATTCTTATTTATATTTATATCTAAAATACAATATTTGATCGACCACTGCTTAAGTTTTTATTTAAACCTTTAAGTACCTATGTTTAAATAAATAGAAATATCGAAATATTAACAAGATTTAAAAAATGTAATTATTATTTAATTTATCATTTATTCAAAATAAAATTGAAGTATAAAGAAAATAGTTGAAATCACGTGGAACATATAGTCACGTAGGTACTTGATTTTTCACAAAATCTAATACTGATACCAACTTATGTGTTTATAAGTACACAAATAAGAATATGTTTTAAGACTCAAATAATTGGTTTACAACTTGAGTGAACATTAATATTTGTATGAGAGAGCAAAGCATAGGTGGAAAAGGTTGAGAAATACGGAAATAAACGTCATATTATAACAATTCAATTTTATAAATTATTTTAATGATGGTTATATTTGAAACAACATTGTCTTTTAGTTTGAAATTTTGAAATGTTATATTAAAAAAATATACTATCCGTCTACACTTTACACAATATACCGTTTATAATGTATCAAACTAAAAAAAATAGATCATAGACCTAGTTCGCTTAATGTTATAACTTATAACTAAGAACAATATTTTCATGAAAACATCATACATAAATAATAATAGAATATTACATATGAAGGTGGTAACTTTTCTGAGGATCACATGAATTTGACACGAATGGTTTTTTAGCGACCACTATTAATATTTAATATGCATAAAATAAAATGAATTCGTAATAACCGATGGTATTACGCGTCATGATAAAACAAAAACAAATACGAATCATCACAAGATCAGACGTTAAAAAATTGTCAACATCCTTATTTCCACCACCAAATCAACAGCAACGACAATATACTATTATTATATTTCAATAATAAGATTATCTAAGTTGCACTCTCTCATAACCGTCGTTGAATCAAAAAACAAATAAAATCAAGATATGATCCCAATACATTATCACACGTGACTACGAATATTAAATTATACATAGTAGGGAAAAACTAGATTTGACTTTGGAAAAGTTTTTTATAGTAGATTTGTAAGAACAATATTTTACACATAATATTATGATGGAGTTAAGGCCGATAAAACTCGAAAATAGAAAGTCTAGTAGAAAAAAAAATAAAAAAATATACCAGGCGAAGTCGGGTAGTACGAAGTATATAAGACAGTAACCTAACAAATGTACTTAATAAAAGCAAAGAATAGTTCAGATGGTATGTTTGTAGGGCTTATATAGACATAAAAACTTAAACACGGAATACTTCTTTTTCCTATATATAAAACGTTCACACGAATTCAAAGAGAAGATGCGCATCAACTGCGAGTGCTATGAGAAATGCAATATTTTAGAGCGAGTTGATTTTATAATTAAAACGGTTGTTATGGTCGAATTTCGACCAATTGACTGCGATTTTATAGTATTAAATAATAGACACGATGGACACAATGAAACGCAATTATAATAATACAGTATACAATATTATATTATTGTCGCATACACAATGGTTTCAATAGTCTTCGATGACGACTACGACGTTTCAGTATCGTTTGTCTCACAGGAGGCTATTATTGACATTTACAATGTACAATATCGTTGAAGATGCTTCAACAACAATCAATTATTTCAAAAATATTATACAGTGGTCGAGTGGTGTACGATTTCAAGTAACTAATCCTCTTAATGATTTAGCCACTATATTCACTTCGCCTGCGTTTGCTTTGACAAATCCGTTTACATATCACCTAGAAGCCTTTCAGAGTATATAGCATACATACATACATATTATATAGTTATTAGTATAGGTTTGCATACAGGTGATTATTACAACTGTAAACGCACAGTATCTGGAAAAGTACTAACATTTATAAAAACATTAATTTTGCATTAGTAACTTGAAGTCATTACAAAACTTAATTTTTGGAAAAAAAATACTATACATTTTGCTAGATATAAGTTATCGCTTTAATTTCTTGAGAGTTTGAATGACAACATGCACTTTTAATTTCATAACTTATAAGTATTTACATTTTACATTTAGCAGGGTGTCCACGCGTCACTCTATTCTGTTCTTCAAAACTTTAAATAATTATAAATTGTTACTAATTAGTAATTTAAGTATTTAACTACTCGTCATGAATTTGATTTTTATACAAATAATTGGTATCCAAAGACAAAAGTCTGCTTCGAATATAAAATCAAAAATGTATGTTGTCATTCAAAAAGTTAATTCTAAAAAAAAAAATAATTTTTTAAAAACAAACACTGTCTTCAAATTTGAATTAAGTAAAAATGCATTAAAAAAATTGTAACACTTTTTAAGATATTGAGTGTTAAGCGTTTCATCCAGTATTATGTACCTAAAATCTACGAGTTTGGATCATGAAACTCAGTCAGTGAGGCGAACTAGAGTGCGACGACAATTGAATAGTAGAGAGAGGTATCCGAGAGAGTAGGTGACTTATAATATTATAATATTGTTCCGAGACAAACACTTAATTGATTATTCTGTAGATCTCCATTATTATACACGACACCGATTTTAGAATTCAAAACGCGATTCACCGTAAATATATATATATTTTTTTCGATTATATAGTCAAAATATTAAACGATTTGTTAGGCCTTAGAAACATAGTAAACATAAAATAGCGTTTTGCGAAAATAGGTGGAAAAGATTTACTTTCGGTTGCGTCTAACAATTTTCTCTTGAAACTGGAGCC